GGGGCATATAGTTACTGCTGACCTCGACGACAGTGCTGACATTGAGCGGGAACGGAGAGCATTGTCAAGAAGGGCAAATATGTTGGCCCGCAAATTTTCACGGAGTTCAGTAGAGGTGAAAATTACACTCTTTCGTGCTTACTGCACTTCTTTGTACACATGTGCTTTGTGGGCCCGCTATTCCCGGAGAGTGTATAACGCGCTTCGCGTGTAATTTAATAATGCTTTTAGGGCGCTCCTGCGGCTACCCCGTTACTGTAGCGCCTCGGGAATGTTCGCCATAGCACACGCAAACTGCTTTTTCACCACCATGCGCAAAAGGTGTGCATCCCTTGTAAGTAGAGTAAGGGCAAGCCCAAATAAAGTCCTGGCTATGATAGCGGAGAGGTTTGACTGTCCTTACATACGGCATTGTTGTGCACAGCATATATTATCTAATGGAGGTGTGTAATGTTATTAAATACAATTGTAAAATTATTTTATATTAAAAAATACGGTTTTGATATAAATAAGAAATTTTGTGTACCTATGACATTTTAATATTCATTTTGTGTATGACATTATAACCTAACCTAACTTGACCTTTGATTTTTAATTATTTTATTTGATGAAAATTATTAAATTTAAATTATGTAATGTATTAAATTAAATAAATGATTAGGTGTATTTTTTAGTGACATGTGCCTATTTCTATAATAATTGATTATGTATTGTTATTATGATTATGCGTTATGTTGCTCGAAATAAATGAATTTTATTTTATTTTTATTTTTTATTTTATTAATTTTCCCAAGTTACACCTTTGAGAAATAAGCGTTATTTTACTATGTTTATTTTTGGCATATAGCTGCTAGATCGTTAAATATAAAGATAATTTTATTAGTAAAAAATCACGCAGTTCAGGTATCCTACGGGATTTGAATCCACATCCTCCACTTTTTTCAGTAACTTTTTTTTTAGAATAAATTTGTTTTTGTAATGAGTTTGCTAACTAATTTCTTTTAAAACAAATATATACTTTTATATCAGAAAAAATATCAACTAATTGCGCTACGTACACTACCAAAAGAAAGTTATATATGATTTAATTTGAATAAAATATAAGTAATTTTATTGCATGCATCCACTCCAACAAGATTCTAGACAATTTGTAATAAGTTTCCGCGCGAACTACCGAAGTTATCGTATAACTCCTCCGTAACTAATTGAGCACAGATTTGGCATCCGTTTATTTAAGTATGTAAATTATCACTTGAATACCTACAGAATTAGATAAACAATCATTATTCTATTACGTGAGATTTCTTTGCCCAATTATTTCGTTATTTCATAAATTTGAGGATAGCGATTGCTCTTTGTTACTCCCCCTGGGTTACATTGATAGTGTTTTCTTTTAATATCACTAGGACCTTCAGAACCCTTCTTATATTATATAAAACCAACCATTTTCTTGGAATAATATTGTAGCCAAATATCGTGTCGTCTATTAAATTCTAGAGATGAGGCGTAAATATCGTATTAGGTATTTGGAATAGTTATTTTGAGTAATTTATATCATATAAAATATTTAATTGCCAAAGGAAAAGTTGCAACAGACGACATCTAGGATACAATTTGATCATTACTTGTTTGATCATTAGGTAAGATGTGATGAGTAAGTGTTACATCGCTACGCTAGGTAGGTGCCGTTGTTCAATGATTTATTTATTTAAAAACCAACAGTGCTGGGTTGTAATTCAAACTTAAGTTAACAGTAATAAAATTCGTCAGCGAATCAGCCTTGCCATCTATATAGTGGCGCTGGGGGTGATATTTTTTTTATTTTGTATATTATTAAGTAAGTAAGTTAAGCTATATAGTTTTTAAGTTTGTGTTCTTAAAATGTCTAATGAAAATAAAGTATAGCAGTCAACACTTAATATGCTAATAACAAGGCTAATTGAAGGTTTTCCTGCTTTAACATAAATAGTAACACTTCGAGCACAGTAATCTTAAATTATATTTATTATTCTTTCACACAGCGACGATCCTGGCTGCAGCGCCAGGTTCAATTTTAAATATAGTAATAAAAATATAGTTTTACAATAAATACCAAAATGGAAGTATTTTCTTACAATAAAAGAAAACGGACATGTGCTGTTCACATGCGATAAAAGTGAAACCTAAAAAAATGTGAACACGTAAAAGTCCTTCATGACTAGGTACTGTAAAATACTGGGCAAAGTTAAATATTCTATACCTAAATTGTTACGAAAAAAAATAGCTTAAAAACAAAAAAATACAATTAAAAATTATATTATATTTTATAAGGTTTTTAGTTTTAGGTTCATTGTTCCTGTATATTTTTTTTAATCCATAAGTTTGTATGATTTAAGTTATTATTACTAGTTTGTATTTTATAAGTAATTAATTTTATTGTAGCAACAAAATAAACTTTTTTGTCTTATTATTTTAAATAAAGAAAAATGTAATAATAAATAATATAGCTACATTAAAAATAAATAAAAGCTTAATAAAAGAAAACAAAACAATAAAAAAAATAGCTTAATAAATAAAAAAAAACCGAGCACAGGATCGAACTACCGATCATTTGGTATCGACCCCAAGACCGTTCGGCTATATTATGTCTCTTTGCAAAGAAAGCAAAATTACGGATACCCTGTGTCAAATACTGTTAAATTTTCGTTTCATCCAGTTTTAAATCACAACGGTGGCAAAGAAGTTTTCGCTTCAAAAATAATTCTTTCCAAATCGCTTAAGAATAAACCACAGCAACAAAATCGGTATAGCGGTGGTAGCTCAGTGATTTAATTCTCCCCTCACATCCTTGGGTCGTGTTTTTCGGAATCTATGTACGGATTAATACATTATTAATATGTATTTATCCGTACATAGATTCCGAAAAATTCGTAGGTACATGCTGGGATTTGAACTCACGACCCAAGGATGTGAGGCGAGAATTAAATCACTTGCTCAACGGTGATGAAAAACATCGTGAGGAAACCTGCACATTCAGATAACGATGGATGTGTAGCCATGATATATCGGCGATACTGCATATATATTCGGATAGGTTTTTAGATTAGGTATTTTTAAATATAAGGATTAGGTGGAATTGGTATCAATTTTACCTAATCCGACCCATGTCTATAAATTCACTGTAAACACCGTTAAAATAGCGTAGTAGTGAAAACTTGTAAAAACTGATAAATAACTTGTTATCTTATAACATAAGATGTATTGATGTCTTACCAAAACTTATAACATTGTAGTCAAAGGTTATTATCACAGGTAACAATTTAGTGATTTTCACTTAGATTAAAGAAAAAGGGAAGATACGGTACACGCTCATACGAGCATCAAATAAAATATGCTCCGACTCAACTACATAAGCAACTCTGGCAACCGACTGCGTTTTCTTTTCTCTCTCTACAAAGTTCTGTGCTGTATTGTTGTCCTTTTCTTGATAACAAATGCTGAATACAAGCAAATAACATTCACGACAAACCGTGCTTTTTGAGAAAAAATGTTTTTATAGATTTACGAATGAAAAGTGTTGCCGTTGAATTTGGTAGTCTATCTTGAACTATTTGTGTTCTTTTTAAAAGCATAGAAGCCATTCTTTTATCTTTATAACACAGAATATACGCAATATTGTTATACAATATTGAGTGCACAGGCAGCGTGTTTCAATGTCCAATTGTCACTAAAGCGAATTGTGGTCATGCATCACAATTTAAGCGGATCACTTTTGAGCCGCGAGTGCCGTATCTTCCTTTTTTGTTTTAATCTAAGGATTTTCATTATGAAATGAAAACTAATCAAAATATTCAAAAAATACTTATAATTTGTTTAACTATTGATTTCAACTAAGTAATGATATAATGTAAAGCGATGACAAGTTGTGTGTTGGTAAATTAAATTTAATAATCCGAAAGGCTATTTACAAGTCATTTTCAATTAGCTATGTCAAGCATTTTGACAAGGGTTTCTCTGAAACTGAGCTTCAACTTTCCAAGTAATAGTATTAGACTTAAAAGTCATTTAAACTACTATCATTACAATTACAGTTTTGTAACAATCGTAATAGTTGTGTACGAAATGCATTTCCCGGATGACATGCATTTGGCTTACAATAAGTAAATGTTAGAGAAATAAGTAAAAAAAAAAGTAACTGTTAGTAATAAGTAGCTAGTAGTTTTTGTTTGATTCTGACGACGTAGCCTGTAAAGGCTACGAAACGTCAATAAATAAATAAAGTTTCGTGCATTACCCCGTAATAACTAGTTTTATTTAATAAGTAGCTAAAAATAAAGTAAAATTAGTAGTAGTAAAAAATCAGCTTTTTTGTTTTCCCACAAAGGTGGAAAGTTAAATATTCAGGCTTTAGTCGACATGTGAACAAATGTGTACCCTTTTCACCAACTTTACTATGAACTCGCATATTTCCAGGGTTTTCTTAACTCCAGTGGTGAGTACACCCTAAATAATTAATAAGCTACGGTAACTAAACGCGCTTTCCCAGGGATAAATAGGTTATATAGCGGCAAGTGGGCCCTACTGCTAAATTGATTGTGTCGTCAAACGAGACTCAAGAAAAAATTATAAAAATGAAGATAATTAAGGAATCTTGCAGTATTATAGTATAGCATCTATTCATGTCATCATGAATATTATTGGTCCATGACGGGCTTAAGTTTTTCACATTTCACGAAAATCATAATACCTTAATGCTTTATCACCAATTTTGCATAGGTAAAATAAAATAAATCTTACTTTGAAAGGTGTTTTTACATTGACCCCCTTATTAATAAACGAGAAAAAGCTTATACTTGTATACGCCGTGTTTTGTTCATATCACTCAAGTACCAATCAAAGAGTAACAAATTCAAGTATATTCTTCGTTTGTCAATAAATGGGTTAAAGGATAGATGTATGCACAATTGAAACAGAAATAATAATATTCACAGAAGTTTAAGATTATTTTTCTTTTGTTACAGATACACGAGCAGTGTCTTCAGTATTTGGTTTAGTTTCACCGCAATCTTTACCGTCCATTCGGTTCATCGTAACAATTTTGTGATTGTATAGTATTGGGTAAATAGATTTTTATGAATAGATGCGTTGGTGTAGGCGGGATAGTGAAGGGCGGGCGGCGGGGCGTTGAGCGTGGATGGTGTTGGTAGGGCGCGCGGTATGGCGGCGCGGTGCGGGGCGGGGCGAGCGGGGCGCGCGCGGCGGTGAGGCCGGCGCGGCGCGGCGAGATGCGCGGGTGCGCGCGCGCCTGGGCCCTGTGCGCCGCGTGGTGCGCGTGCATGCTGGCGGCGGGAGCGGCGGCGGCGGCGGCTGCGGCGGCGGCGGCGGCGCGCGAGCTGCGCGTGCTGCAGGCCGACGCGCGCACTGCGTTCTACGTCGGTATCGCGGCGCCGCCCTCGGCCGCCGCCGTCGTGTCATCGTTCAACCGCTCGCTGGCGGAGATCTCGCGGACGTACCTCGCCGGCGACTATCCGTTGTACCTGCGCAACATCACGCTACTACCCCTTTACATCGAATTGCCAGAAGATGAAAGGTAAATAAGAAACTTTAAGTACTGCTTTGTGCACCTTGAGTATGATTTCCATTGAACGGCACGCATCGCATAAGATCGAAAAGGATATGAATAAAACCGGAGCAAATATTGACGTATACGTATAATCAATTGGTAGTGCAGAGTTTAGTCAAAAAAAAGATTCCTACGGTGTTGATGTATTGCTATATTTGAACATTAGTTGACGAAGTATTGTTAACTGTTACTTTTGAAGAAGAAGAAGAAGATGATCTCACAATTCTCCGGCCACAGCACTAAGCGCACGCGTGATTTGAAATGTTGCATTTTTATGAGTACTGGAATTCAACGTGGAAAATCTAATTAAATTATTTGTTGTTTCCAAAAAGGTATGCTTTTGTTAAATTGGGGCATGTAAAAAAATTGTTTACACCCATTATTAATAGATATTCAATTTTCTCTTAGAAATCTAAGAGTAAATTAAATATCATCAAATCTCGCAACAACATTATACTAGCAGCAGCCCGCGAGTTCAACCACGTTAACTTTAGATTTTTGAGAATTTACATTTTACATTGAAGAACATAAAATTTTACCGGGATGAAGAGTATCTCTTCTCTCAATCCAGGTCATAAAATTATTTGCGTGCCAAATTTCATCCAAATCCGTTTAGTAGTTTTTGCGTGATTGAGTAACAAACATACATCATCATCATCATCAACAACAGCCTATCTTAGTCCACTACTGGACATAGGCCTCTCCAAATACACGCCACTCAGATCGATCTTGGGCTACTCGCATCCAGCTACTGCCAGCCACCTTGCGCAAATCGTCACTCCATCGCGCCTGAACACGTCCTACACTACGTTTGCCTAGACGCGGTCTCCACTCCAGAACTCGTCTACCCCAGCGGTTATCTAATAATATGGCCAGCCCACTGCCACTTCAACTTGCTAATCCGGTGGGCTATGTCGATAACTCTGGTTCTCTGTCGGATTACCTCATTTCTGATGCGATCCTTCAGAGAAACGCCGAGCATAGCCCTTTCCATAGCGCGCTGCGCGACTTTGAACCTTTGGACCAGCCGTACCGTCAGTGTCCACGTCTCGGCTCCGTATGTCATCACAGGTAGGACGCACTGATTGAAGACTTTCGTCTTTAGGCACTGTGGGATCGACGATGTCAGGACTTGACGTAACTTCCCAAACGCTGCCCAACCTAGCTAAATTCTTCTATTCACCTCGCCCTCAAAGTTCTTTCTACCTAACTGCAATGTCTGCCCGAGGTACACATATTTTGGAACAGCTTCGAGAACGGCACCGTGTATTGCAATCGGTTCCGGTAGAACATGTTCATTGAACATGACCTTGGTTTTATCCAAGTTCATCCGTAGGCCGATGCGTATAGAAGAATCAGCCAGGTTATTCAGCATCTATTGTAGGTCCTGCAGGGTTTCTGCCATAATGACGATGTCATCTGCAAATCGCAAGTGAGAGATGCGTTCGCCATTTATGTTGATGCCACGTCCTTTCCAGTTCAGCGTCTTGAACATATCCTCCATTGCATTAGTGAACAATTTCGGGGAAATAACGTCCCCTTGTCTCACTCCACGGTGCAACGGTATGGGACTCGTTTGATGAATTGTACTTGGACAGACATGATGGCGGCTTTGTAGAGACATCTAATCACTTGGATGTATCGCCAGTCGACTTGGCAACGCTGCAGGGACTCCAGAGCACACCAGATTTCAATCGAGTCAAAGGCCTTCTCAAAGTCCACAAATGCTAGGCACAGGGGCTGATTGTACTCTTCAGTCTTCTGTATAATCTGCCGCACTGTGTAGATGTGGTCTATAGTACCGTATCCGCTCCGAAACCCAGCCTGTTCTGGTGGTTGGAAGTCATCAAGTCTTCGCGCAAGACGGTTCGCGACCACTCTTGAGAACAGCTTATATACGTGGCTTAGAAGGGATATGGGTCGATAGTTCTTAAGTTGTGTCTTGTCCCCCTTTTTAAAGAATAAGACAACTACACTTCTACCCCACGCCTCCGGAGTTCTCCCTTCGAACAGGACAGTGTTGAAAAGCTTTTGGAGCTCCCTCAGTAAAGGTTTACCTCCAGCCTTCAAGAGTTCTGTTGAAACACCATCCTCTCCAGGGGCTTTTCCATTTTTAAGCTGTCCAAAAGCAATCTCGATTTTGCCAATACTGACTTCTGGCAGGTCTTCGGTGAAGTGGCGTGTTAATGTGGCTCTAGAATCCTCATTTCCGGGATCGGGTCGAGATGCATGTGATGCGTACAACTGGCTGTAGAAGTCTTCCACTTCCGAAAGGACTGTCGGCTTTGAAGTAACAACTTTCCCACTTGGTATTGTGGTCAACTTCGTCAGATGGCTTCTTCCAAGAGATTGTACGAACACTTTGGATCCTCGATTCTGCTCGATCGCTCTCTTGATCGAGAGAGTATTGGAGCACCGGAGGTCGTGTCGTACGTGCTTACTGCCGTCCGCTTTGCCGACGAAGTAACGGGTGGATTTTCACGTTGTTCCTTCATTAGCGCTAAAGTCTCTTCCGAAAGCTTTGACTTCCTGCCCTTACGCTGCGTTGCACATTATCTCGTACCCTCTTTCCTGAGGATCCGAATCACATTTTCGAGGTTTTGGTTTACGTCTGTTGTGGTTTCCACGGCAGCAAATCGGTTCTCCAGATTTGACTGGAACGTTTCAGATCCTGTTATAGATTGGAACAGAGTAGGTTGGAGCCTGGATTTCATCAAACGGACGCGCTCGGCCTTAAAGTTGATATTCAAAGAGCCCCGGACGAGTCGGTTATCACTACCGGTATTGAACCTGTTAATCACTGAGACGTCTCTGAATATGTAGGTACCTCTTGTCCGTCATGATGAAATCGATCTCATTTTTAGTCATAGTGTCGGGGCTTTGCCACGTCCACTTCCTTTGGGGCTGTTTCTTGAAGAAAGAGTTCATCAGGAAGAGCCCCTCCTGTTCGAGGAAGTTGACGAGCATTTGCCCCCTATGATTTCTGCTTCCAAATCCATGGGATACTACTACCGATTCGCTGCAATTCTGTACTCCCACTTTAGCGTTGAAGTCCCCCATAACAACGTTGTAGTGGGTCTTAGTAGTGGAGTGGAGGGCCCTCGATATATCATCGAACATATCCTCCACTTCGTCGTCCGAGTGTGTCGAGGTCGGTGCGTACACTTGCACCACCTTGAGGCTATACCTCTCGGTGAGCTTTATAATAAGGTACACTACCCTGTTCGACATGCTGGACATTTCCACAACGTTATCGGCAAGGCACTTATTTACCAAAAACCCAACGCCACGTTGGGAATGTTGGTCTCCCCCGCGGAAGTACATTAGGTGGCCCGATTCGAGCATTATGGTGTCCTCCCCGCAAACAAACATACAAATTTTCACATTTATTATATTAGTAGGGTTAGGAACTAGCAGAAATAAAATGTATTATGTATTAGAAATAAAATAAACCTGTAATCTCGTGTTGGCTATTACGTACTCACGCGCTGATGAGTAATTAGGTGTGATTAACAACATCATTGAATTCCTTTATAATAATAATAAAATTTATTTGTAAAATGTTGTAAATGGTAAACATCTTATAAATATATTAAAGCTAAGACCATTATTTCACACAAAGTACATATAGGCATCCCCAGCCAAACTAGGAAGTTCCACCTGTATTTTGGCTTCAGCGCCCTTCCCCAATTTTATTTGCAATGTAGCCATAGAAATAGCATGATTACAAATCAATAATACAGTACATTAATATAATAAGTGTGTGAGAGTGCAAATGTTTATGTCTGGATAAGAATAGAATAGATAAGTGTTAGAATTGAAAAAATCACGCGTTGGTAATAGATTACATTCACTGAAACTTAAATATTTGATAGGCAAGTTATTATAACATGTGCTTCTATATTGTTTAAAGTGCCTCCGCATATTTACTTAAATGATTTCAAAACCATTTATATTAAAAATTACACAATAAAAGTTTCACAATGAGCTGATGATGATATCGTTTGATATGTCATTCTACTGTATAATGTAATGTTAGTAAAACTATTTTTTTTATAAAAGTGGTTCCCAAAAATAAAGTCTACATTCATACATATACCGACATAATATATTTCAGCTCACTTAGTCCAATATTCTTTTGTGGTACGAATTCCAAAAAATCAACATGAATCTGTATAAAATTAATAAACAATTAATCTGTCTATATTGATAGCCTTTAGGATAATTATACAAGGGTTCATTATGTATGTACTTTACTAGCAAATTACCGGTTCGTATTAGTTCTGCCCTGCAAATTACCGGTTCGTATTAGTTCTGCTACGTTCCCCGTAGAAAATAAACGTAGAATCAAGTTGAATCAGGACAATTATAGGATAATTTAGGTGTATATTCAACGTTACTATTTGTTATTCAAACGAAAATGTACCCTAATTTGGATTTAGAGTCGAACCAATTTGCTTCTTGCGTGGTATGCTTGAAAACACTTTTAGTTAATGTAAATATAAATAAATAAATATCTCCAACACTCACACCAATTAGCCTAGCCCCAAAGTAAGGCTCGTGTTATGGGATACTAGGGTAACGGATAGAATACATATACTGTACATATATAAGTATATTTATATAGAAATACATATGAAACATCCATGACTGGAGTACAAATGCTCGTATTCCTCACACATCATCTGTCCCCACCGGGATTCGAACCCGGGACCTCTCGAGTCGGCGACACCATGAAACCCGGTATACAAACCACTTGGCCACGGAGATAGTCAAAATATAATGTCGTAAGTTACGTTCATTTGTGGAAGAGATTTTAACAGTTTTGCGGTTTGCTTTCCGTAGAGTTTTCTTGTAGATTTTTCTTTCTTAGATAATTAAATATAATCTTAGAATTTTTCTTAATTATAGATAGATAGATAGATAAACACTTTATTACTCACACATACACAATTATAGGGTTTACAAAACAGATAGTCAACTATGGTGGGTAAAGGCGGTCTTATCGCTGAAAGCAATTATATTTAATTATCTACTTAAGTTCAGTTTACATAATGCACTTCTTACGTGTACAAGATGAGTAATTTGAACTTTAAGTATATAAAAAATAGGTAAGTACTGAAGGGTTCTCTAGAAGGGAGAACCTGGTGAACGTGACTCAAATGGTGATAAAATAATAACAATTGGACTTTTAACTATGTTTATTTGAACTCAAGAATATACATTACAATTAATTATAGTCAACAGATCGAGTCTGTGCCTGAATTCAATCTCTAGAATGGTCAAAGAGGCTGTAACGCTACGGGCGTTACAGTACCATTATACAGCTATCTAAGTTGAAAAAAGAACATCAAGTGTCAAATCAGATTATGTCTCCCAGTAACTCCCCCAAGATTATCATGTGTTCTGTTTTTTCACTTATTATATTATTTTGATAATAATGTTAGACTCACAATTGTATTTTCTTGCTTTCATGTTTTTTTCACACAGTTTTAACTGTACTTTGACCTTTGAAAAGCTAGAGATACCAGTGCCACACAGTACCGAAATAAGGACGCAAATTAATAAAAATGAAACAAGATCTTTAAAGTCTTTAAATGTTAACGGAAGGATTCTAAAATTACACGTGCGGAGATGGTTACCTTGCAAAATCACCCCATGTACTCAAATAGATATTAAACTTTGGTTTATGGTACAAGTATATTCATTTTAGGGGTTTTACGCCATATCAAATGCCAGTATATCGAATGCCAGTTGATTGGCGACAATGAACCGAAAACCCGATATATCGATCGGCGATTTGATCAAAATTTTAATAAATGGATTTCCAATAGATCGCTGTGACATAATTCGAAATTTCAATGCTTATCGCAGATCTTGTTTTGCCAAGAGAAGCATTACAAGTGACGACCAAATAAACAATGTATCTCGAAAAATAATATCTAGTAGAACGTCTAATGGTAATGTAATTATATCCAAACTGCTGCCAATATTACCACCGAGGTTATGGTCAGGATGAAGCAATGTGTCTAACCAAGGATTCAAAATAACGCAGAAGCCCGGTATCGATACTATATGCTACTTGATAAACAAAAAACACGGACTGTACGCCACAATAAGATTTTTGATCAGAGAGCAGTAGCATTGGGTAATCGATTTTATAAAACGTCAATCATAATAGCTTTTGATCAATTGGCATAGCGCGCTGTTATTCTATTTATAAGGGGTTTTTGGTTGATTGTCACCGATTAATTGGCATTCATATCGAATGTGTAGAAATCCTTCATTTTAGATGCTCTCAGTGATTCAAAAGTCGGTTTGAAACTAGAGTATTTGGTAAAACACTCTTTAATTAATAAGCGCAATCATAAAAACTGGCCAAGTTAACAGAGAGCTTTGTAGTAAGTTATATGTTTGTTTGGTAAACAATTACTTACATTTTCCGAATTCATTTGAATTCACTTTCAGAAGCTAATTGAATACTCAGATACTTTATGAGCCGCTGTTTTTTACAGGCACAATTATTATTCTTTCTCAAGTCCTTAGGTTACAAAACAGTTTTACTGTAATGTAAATGGACATTGATGGATCTGTGAGCCTAACGAGATATTTTTAGTAGGTAAATAACGTGTATTACGATAGTACAAAATTAAGACAGATGGACTTAAAAAATCGATCAATGTACTTTTAACTTTCCCTATTGGCGTTTTGAATCAGATTTTATATAAATAATAAATATCTTGCATTTTGCATTTCTTTTTCTTGTTTTCTGCTTAACTAAACACCGGTAAGTTAGGCAACATATATCTTTGTAATTCTCCTATTGCCAAATACGTGAACACAATGCGTTGTCAAATAAAATTAACCCATGAAAATATTAATGTTTTGTTTAGTACCTACGGGAAGTTTACAGGAATACCAGTGCAGTGGTTGATATTTAAATAATTTTCACGTTCTTCTTGGCAAACTGTTGTTGGTGGCAACCGCCATCATTCATCATAACTTGGGACCGCTCTCAGCTCACACTCAGTTTGGACAATTATATACAGAGTTTTTAAACCTGAGCGGTACTTCTTACTGGCTTCAGGGTGAATAAATTATGACCCATCACAGCGCTATCAAGGGAGAAGTGAAAAATTTTACGTACTTATTGCTGTTTGCGTTTGTTTTTTCCGGATTATTGTTTGATTTTTTACTTTCGAAGTTATTTTTCTTACTCAATGCTTCGTATTTCATTTATCGGTGCCCTTTAGTTTTTTTGCTTTTCCCTCAGTACCGACGATATCGAATATTGTCGGTTCTACGGGTAATAATACAAACAGTTCCTTGCATTATGTCAGGCCGCTGCCGCCGTGCCGGCCTTTGTGTCATTTTATCTATATCAATTTCTTTGTTGGTTACTTCACCAAATGAATCAAGCAATATGTCCTAAAATGGGCTCAATAAAGAAGATAGATTATTTATTATTACTCTACCAGAACGATCCTCTGTAATTTCTCGTTTATTTTATTATGAAAACTGGAGGAAAGCTTAAAAGAAAAAACACAGAGAAATAGTGAAACGGTTCATTACATAAATCTATTGTATGTGTATGTTGTAATTTTTCCGTTATGATTATAATGCAACCTATTGTATGAAGTAGTATAAATCATTAAATATTATTTGTAGTAAAAAAAATAATGTTTTAAACACCGGTACTTATTGCAAAGATCTTCAGATGTTCAGTTTCAGTGTCAAATACGATATTGCACTGTTTCGCAAATTTCTTGTACGTGACTTGGTAGAGGCATTCCATGCCGGCCTTTTCGGCGACACGTTGAGAAGGGGCACTTGTGAATATGCCTCCTGTCGCTATAAAACCCAACGTCTTCGACAGTTCCACCCTGAAATGGCAAATGATTTCCACAATGTTCACTTCATCTTCTATTTTGAATTTATTAAGTTGGGAAACTTGGAAAAAATACGTAATAATGTCAAGGTGACAAGTTAAGTAATCTCCTCAACGCAAGGGTAAGGATCAAGTTAAACTTAATCTATATATATATATATATACTGTAATTTTGTCGACTGCACGTATTTTATAAAACAACAAAAATAATGAAAACTCAGAATGTTAACGATTACAAATTACAGTAAAAACAAACACATTTGAATTTTCCTCCGCCAATTTCATCATTATCAGGCTATTAACGTTCACACTGCTGGGGCACAAAACAAACTGTCGTATACAGATAATTACCTAATTTTGTCCAATGCTTTTCAAAGACGGCTGTTCTATTTTTAGTTATAATGTCATCTTAAGTAATTTAAGTTCCGTATTATGTCTTTTTAACTTCTGGTACTGTAGAATAAATTCGGTAACTATCACTCTACCCAGATCTTCATCACATGTTTAATTCTCACATCATCTTAATAATCATCCAACCATTGTACATTGTATTGTACATTGCTTGACTGAGAAAATTTATAGTTAGTCGCCTTTTCGCCCGCGGCAGTGGGACAACTCCCTGAAAGTTCTCAACCGGTCGATCCTCAGCTGTCCGCATCTAGCGACTTATATGGCAATTGAAAGTAAAATATTTAAAGATATTTGATTGATATATTTTATATAACACCTATTTTACCTGGTATTAAGTAATTCGACGGCTATTCCGAGTCCCCTGTACTCCGGTTTCACAGAGAGGCCTGTTCCCATGAGATATTTATTCACTCCATATTTATCATAAATCTCTGTCACTTTCATGGCCTCCACAAACATACGCAGTGACAGCAAACCGGCCTTTGTTTTTGGCTGTAATAAATAGAAACGTATATATAAATATAGATGTATTTACAGCTATGTTCAGGATTTTATATCTCTTTTTGGGAATTGGGTAGAGAAAATGTAAGTGGGATATTAACGTAATAAAAATGTATGTACAACTGTACTGTTCCTTGATATATCGAAAAAAAATTCTTGAAAAAATCGCGTTATTTTTATATTTATGAATACAATCAAGAATGGTGTAATCCATTTGTAGAAAATAAAATACTGCAAATACCAAATTTCCGACAAAAATACAGAACCGGCACAGCTATGCTCATTTCCAGGTTAAATTCTTTACATAATAAACATGGCCGGTTTCATTAAATTCGCCGGTGTTTTTCTATGCTATCTCTTCTCCATGTCGACGTTAATGAGGACAGTGGTAAAGTTTGAGTTTAATTTGTAAAAAAATAAAGTTTATTTTATGATAAATTCATTTTCAATGTGTTTGAACAGTTTTGTAAAATACTAGCAGCTGCCTGCGACTTAGTCGCGTTTTCTGAGTATTTCACAAGAATCTAATATTTTCCTAGAATAAAAAGTGTCCTTTGTCTTAATATAGGTTATACATAAACTATATGTGTAACAAATTTCATCCAAATCCGTTCTGTCCTTTTTGCGTGATTAAGTAACTAATATACAAACACACAAACTTTCATATTTATAATATTGGTAGAAATCTAAACATCTATCGCATAAATTATATTATTGATAAATTTTACGGTCACTAATAACTAAAAAACGATAATAATAATGTATTTTATAACAAATTTGCTCGTAAAGCGTCTATTATTGCACCAATTTCAATCTCATAATGTATCACATTACACACGCGTGCGGTAATGTAAATTAAAACGCACGGCTTATTATGTTCCGTCTAAAAACGAACGATACTTTTTTAAATCTTAGCAAAGAGTTTTTATGTCAGAAAGGTAGCCAACATTTTCGTAATAAAATTAACTTTGGGAGATAAAATATAATACATAAACATATTTGTTTCTTAGGTTTTCACGCACACCACTCATTAAATAAAACTAGTTTTTCACGGGTTAATGCACGAAACTTTATTCGTTTATTGACGTTTCGTAGCCTTTACAGGCTACGTCGTCGGAATAAAATTTTTATAACATAAACATTCAATTCTTTAATTTGATTCATATTGACAATAAATTACAACCATGTATCGGTAACAAATTCACAAAAATATTACTTTACTTTATTAGTAACACTGGCTGTTTTTTGTTCGTTTGCCTAAAAAAAGCGTTGATACGCGCGCATCGCTAATATGTGAAAAAGTTATTTCTTTTTGTTTTCGCTGCATTATTTTTATTTGAAAATATTGTCAAGTAGTAACGAATTTATTAATTTGACACCGCCAGAAGTCGAAAAAGGCTACGCTAAGCCTCTTGCCCGAAAAATCCACGGATAGATACCTACTTACAGTCAAGCGTATCAAAATTTAATCTTATGGAAAGCAAACAAAGGTGCAAATTCATTTTCAGAAAGTACGTACGTAGGTAGTATTATTTTCTCGCAAATGTGTTATAAAACGTCGTATGACATACGTGCGGTTTAATAATTACAGCCTCTGCCTTCTTATAGTCCTCACCTACGGCTCGGGCAAACAATATCGCCTCGGCTGTAATTCTCAACTTATCGCACATAAATCATAATGTACTATTAGGATACTTTGTTATTGTATTCGATTTCTTTAAGAATTTTATCTATAATGTAATATAATGTCTAATAACTTTTGATCATTACATCTTAAAATATTATTAATTATAAACTTTGTTTACATTTTGGCATAACACATTAGTTTATATGATCTCCAGTTCAACTTGGTCAATTTTGTTTTTTTTAAGTATTAATTTTTGCAATTTTATTCAAAATTTAGCTAACCTAATCTATGATCTTCTATCGAACAGCCGTAAACCTTGCTTATCAATGAAAACTCAGCACTACCTAAAAGTTACAGTTATTTCATTACCTTCGTCTGTAAGATGGACTTTGAACAAACCTTGAATAAGACTCTCTGCGACGAACATTAAACTATAAGAATATTTGGTAGGTAGTTTACAAGTCGTCGTTGTCAAACCAATAACTGCTATGTGCGAAAAGAAAACTTAAACATATTCAGTTAATATTTGATAAAAAATATTCTGGCTAATGCACAAAGAATATTTTTTTAGCAACCTCTGTTCACCGTAATATTGCTAAAGATTCGTATTCGTAAGCAGTCTTTGTATTCGAAAATTGTTTAGTAATATACAAGTAGTACTACGCAGTACTATAGCATACTATAGCAATATTGGTTTGACAACGACGAAATGCCAATCCCATTAGATAGTATTACGACAGCAATATTGAAAGCCAGAGAGTTTGTAAAAACTTTCAAGTTTTATACTAGTCAAATTCGTTATAAAATAATGTATATAAAAAGTATACTGACCAAATTATACGTAGGGTAAAAACGGGGTCGACATCGAAAGGATAAAATCGGCAGGATAAATGGGAATGGGTCCAAGGATAGCGTATAATGGTGAGGGTAACGAAATGGAACCTAATCTACTATGGCTATAACGGTAACGATACCCATTTAGGATTTCTCCGTGGGAAATCAAGATTTTTTTTCATTTTTAAACACGCAACAATACTAAGAACCTATTTTATTAGCATACCTAGATTTTCCAGTTTTGATGAAATTAATTTCGTTCTACTTATTTGTTTTTTGTACTATAATATTATTTTCCCACTCCATCTGGATGATAAGTGAAAGTTGAGCCCAGTTAAGAATAGCTGAATTTCCGCTTGAATTGGAGCGCCCGTATGGGGAAGCAACTTCCACTTTAAAGATGACCACAGTAAAATAGCACTACCTTTTGGTGGTGTTGTGTTTCTGCTGGTGAGTAGGGTTCCAGTGCTGCGCGGGGTAAGGGATTAGGTTCAAGCCATCAAGGTGAGGATGGCTGGAGCGGCACATCTTCTGCCGCGTCATCTATCTTCGCGACTGGATTCCACTTACATTTAACATCAAGTGGAGTGAGGTAAGTTTTTGCGTCTCATATAAAAAAGTCGCTCTGTTGCAGCAGATAAGTATGGCTTTAGCTATTCTTACTTTGCCGACTTGAACCCAATCATCTAGCCCGTGAATGGATCCCTATTACCTATCAACAGAGAGCAAGCACTACGAAAAGGTAGTGTCATATTTTCGTCTTTTATAAGATAGTCCATCCCCAGATCAGCGTTCCCATTCGAACAGAGATTTCTTTATACTCTACCTTGTCGACTTGAACCCAATCATCTACCCCGTGAATGGATCCCTATTATCTACTATCTATTATCTAGTAGTGTCATTCTTCTTCGGCGCTACACTCTTGACAGAGTGGTCGTGGTCGTCACATCAGGGTTGGTGGCGCGCTTCACAATACGCCGCCATTCGTCCCGCACTGCGGCCTTTCTAGTGCACTCGTGAAGTGGACCGTTCAGTGCCGCTTTTATCTGGTCAGTCCAGTGCATTGGTGATCTGCCGCGTGTTCTTACGCCCTCGACTTTACCCTGCACCACCAGTCGTTCTACTGACGCATCTTCTCGGCGTGAGATGTGACCAAAGAAGGTTAGAATGCGACCTTGTACGATGGAAGACAAACGTTGTTTGATGGACAGTTCCTGGAGGATGGATGCATTGGTTCGGAATTGTGTCCACTGTATACCAAGCATTTTCCTCCAGCACCACATTTCTAGAGCGTCTATCTTCTTTTTCTCACTCTCTCGCAAGGTCCACGTCTCAGCACCATAAAGGAATATGGGAAACACTAATGCCCTGACGAGTCGTGTTTTCGTGGCTTTTGTGATGTTCCTGTTTCTCCATATTTTTTGAAGTTTGTCCATAGCTGACCTCGTGATTGCCATGCGCCGCTTGACTTCATCTGCACATCCACCGTTGCCCGAAATCATTGCTCCAAGGTAGATGTATGACTGAACGACATCGCAGTTCGCGATTTTAGTAATTTCTGGCGAGTTGTTATTAGCACGATCGACAATCATAATCTTGGTTTTACTGCGATTTATTTTCAGGCCAAAATCACGACTAACTTGCTCCATTTTGCTTAGCAGAGATTCCATGTTACTGGCGCTTGTTGCAAACAGAGTGGTGTCATCCGCATACCTCAAATTGCAAGTCTTATAGCCTCCAATACTGATTCCGTCTGACCAATTCTCGAGTGCTATTCTCATAATGAGTTCTGTATAGATGTTAAACAGTATCGAAGACACAATACAACCTTGTCGGACTCCAGCGCTGGGGTGGAAATGGTCCGATAAAATGTCGTCCGCTCTGACTGAGGCTGTTCCGTCTTCGTATAGTCTTCTCAAAAGGTGAACAAGGTGTTTTGGTGTTCCCATGTCCAGGAGAGTCTCCCAAAGTACTGGCCACCTCACCGAATCGAATGCTTTTGAGAAGTCCACAAAGCAGATGTAGGTTGGCTTATTGAACTCCCTTGCCTTTTCAATGATTTGGCGCACATTAAGGATCTATTCACGGGTTCCTTTTCCTTTTACGAAGCCAGCTTGTTCCGGGGCAATCTCCATAGTAGGAAGTGTCATATTGTCGTCTTTTATAAGATAGTCCATCCCCAGATTCGCGTTCCCATTCGAACAGATATTTCTTTATACTCTACCTCGTCGACTTGAACCCAATCATCTACCCCGTGAATGGATCCCTATTAGCGATGGGCGTTGAATTAACGAACGGTTTAAATAGACGGTCTACGTTCAATCGACGCTTCGACGGTCTACAGTTAATTCGTTAACTAGTTGAATTCATAGACGGCTAAACTGAGAGTCCACAGCGTTCATATCTACTGACAAAGCGACGACGACGCGTAAACGTATCCGGTTCACCCGTTACAAGTCCATACGTTCGTTCATTCGTTGAAATAAAGCAATTTGAAACTTAAGTATATGGCGTGGGAATTGATATTTGTTCATACCCCGTCGTCGTCGTTGCGTCGCGCCCGTAGACCAGTCACCGCGTAGTTGATATGAACCCTTTCAAGCCTGCCGTTATCACGTCAACTAGTTGATCGACTAGTTGATCGACTAGTCGATGGACGGTAGTGGACGGTTTCGTTTCGTCGACGAAAAATACGTCGACGACCTACCTCTAATCCCTATTATCTGCCCTATCAACAGAGAGCAAGCACTACGAAAAGGTAGTGTCATATTGTCGTCTATTATAAGATAGTACGTCCCCAGATCAGCGTTCCTCTACCTCTATACATTATTAACATTAATAACATTCATCCACAGAGGTTGGAGATGAATGTTACTAATGTTTGGTATTAAACTATTAAATCAGTATTATATCATACTTTGTCCAAGAGGTACCCTTACAGGATGCATCTATACTTATTACATACATATGTATGTGTGTATAGTAATTTTAAGTCTAGTTATTACAGTATAACTTTAATGTGCCTTACGTAAGCATGCGTAAATATACACCGAATATTTAAGAATTTTAAGTTACCTTAGAAAGTTTACTAGCTAATTCAGACAACGAGTTAGGTTATATTACTGCAAAACTTTTTTTTAGACTTAAATTTCTCTATGTTTATTAAATAATTATGCATTTACGCAACCTTAACAATTTTCATTCCCCTAAATTGATTCAAATAAAACTATTTTTAGAATCTACGTACTTTAAATGGATAATAATTTCATAATAGGTATCTTATTTACAAAACAGGACGTTTTAGGATATTTTGTAAACATACAGTATGTTTACTGTATACAACTGTTCGCACTATTTTTATTTACTATAAAAATAGTATGAACTTTGATATATACGATATTCAAGCTTCTTAGGTAACTCAAAATTTATAGTGTATATAAATATGTTGTCGTAACTACACTTAGGTATTACATTTCCTGAAATCAACACGCAGCATGCTACTATTGTAATTAATAGCGTAAACTTACCAGTTAACTGGAAAACTTCGGCGATCTAGCGTACGTGAATATAGCGGTGAAGGAAATTCTCATAAATTTCTAATCAAAATGCAAAGAAACTTCTTCTGCGTACAAAAATGGATATTCCATATAAATTTCCACCACTCTTTTCACCCCCTTAAATGATGATTTATGAGATAAGAACTATCTTATCTCCTTTGTTAGCTATCTAACTATCAGTACACAAAATTTAATTTCAATCGAATCAGCGGATAAAGAGGTAACAGACTGACAGATACATTTTCGCAGTGATAATATAAGTATGAAAGTATCATCATCATCAGCCTATTAATGTCCTCACTGCTGGGGCACAGGCCTTCCCTATGGATGGAATAGGGAGAAAGTATGAAAGTATAGATCAAACATAATTCATTATTGAATATTGCATTTTGTCTTGGCCAGCTTCAGAAAAAAAAAATGCGCGCATCAACTTTTGTATTCATTTTTATTATTAACTTTTCAGTAGGTATCGTATACGTAAAATAGTCGGTTACTCCATACTAATTTTTACCCTTCCAGTTTTATTTTTGGTGTTCGGGCTCTTAAGACATAGGGTATAGACGTTATGACGTCTATGTGATTTTTTTCCTTTCTTTGAATGGGACGCCTATCTTGCATAGCTACAAAATACCACATTGAACTTAACTCTTTGGTCCTATTGTTAGATCTACTCGGTCCTTTACTACTTTGTGTTACGCGGTTTTATTTCTAGATAAATATCATGTTTCTAGGTCAACGGGTGGTTATAAGTTTCGACCCCCTTGCGAGCGACAAAGTATGAGGCATACAATGAGCACATAACGTTGTACCTTTTGATTGCATTGACTTAGTAATTTTTTCCCTGCTTGTTATTAGGATTGCAAACCTAGGTAATAGATATTTATTTCAGCTTGATATTTATACGCGTTCCTTCGAAAGTGTCCTGAGAAACAGTACCCTTAGTACGAGTTTGAGCTCACGAAAACTATCATAGTTTTCGTAATTGTAAATTATGTATCTATGTTCATTTTTGTGAAAAGTAACCAAATATACTTAAAATTTAAGAAGACACAAATGATTTAATGATAGAATTTAAACACTGTTTCCTTGTATTGAAACGAAAACAATATAATCAGTACCCTTAGTACGAGTATTGTAAAACTCGTACTAAGGGTACAGATAGAAGGACGGACGGTCAACGATGTGATCTTACAAAGGTTCCGGTTTTTTCTGTTACGGTACGTAACGGATCAACATGTAAAGTGATCTTTTGACAGTTGCAATTATTTCTTTTGAGGTACAGAAAGAAGCATTGAAAAAACAATTTATAAATTCTACTAGGTAGTTAAGGCATGAATTGATCAATCGGTTGTACCGGTGCGTGATCGACGAAACGTCCCTTCTCTTGGGGCATACACAAGTTGACTCCGACAAGCGTATGTCCTGAACCGTCTCCCTCCGCTAAGAAGCATGCCAAACTCATTTTCTGCTTAATGATCGACGTCAGAAGCACTCTGTACTCCTGCACGGCCTCTAAATCCTTCGCAGTGCCTGCCAATCAGATTGATTAATTACACATTCATGAAAATTAAACAGCTCTTCTCTAAATCGCTTCGGACAGAACGAATTCATTTAAAAGTATCCGTTGTCGTTTCGGAATGTTATGTCTTATTTTGATTTGACACACAGTTTTGGATGCCTCGTTCTTAGTAATTTTTACTGCTTAATTTAAATTGAAAATAAAAAGACAGTTATTTCCAACGATTAATGAAATGAAATGAAACGAAATGAAATGAAAAATCATTTATTCAGTCTAGGCTGTTACAAGCACTTGTGAAGGTCAAGAAGCTACGCCATCGGTTAGCAAAACTACGGCGGAAGACCTTATACTGAGAAGAACCGGCAAGAAACTCAGCAAGGGCTGCTTTTTTCTCCCTGTATTGATATATACAGAGTCGTCAAGTTGAAAAATGACACCTTCCATTACATTATTTAGGATATAGATATATAGTAACAATAAATTTTATATTTAGTATATAGGAAGCGGCATTAGATAGGTACCATATTACTGTTACAAAAACTGACTAATACCCACCAAATAACAAATTACAAAAACACTATGTCCATGCATTACGATCATTTAGATAATCATTAACTTTATAATAGCCATTATTCATAAGAGTATTCTTGATCTGAGATTTAAATTTGGTTAGTGGAAGCTCAATCAGATCTTGGGGAACTTTGTTAAACAATGCAATACTACATCCCAGAAATGAACCTCTTGATTTTTGGAGTCTGAAACATGGAACGGCAAGCTTGTTCTTAAATCTCGTGTTAAAATTTTGGGTTTGACTTTTTTTTTGCAAATGCGTCATAGTTTTTTCTACATATATTATATTTTCAAAATTCGCAATTAATAACAAGTACGCAATAAAATTTAAGATGGGTTCGACATTTGCATTTTTATTTTTACGTAAATACGTTTTTATCACTTCTGTTATAGAGCTATCGATGCTAATGAGGCTTTTAAGCGTCTTATTGCTTCTTTTACTAATTAGGCTGGGTACTTGTGAAGAAATTAAAATGACATCATTTAGCAGCGAGGTAAGGCTTTGTTAACACGCTGGTTCCTCAATTTCTTTACTAACATGTAACATTTGTACATTCGCAATTCGGAGGTAATGGAGCTGTAATTTGTAAGTGAGGAAGGGGTGACCCTCTAATGATACCACATTTGAGGTATCTGCCCTGTCCCCGGAATAATTGGGTGCGGGATTCGCCCCCCCTCCGGGAGCCCCTAATGACTTGGGCATTTTCTTGCGTAGGAAAGAGTTTGCCGACATGAGATGGGAATGCTCTAATTGCAAAAAATGCCTACGCACAGATTAGTTTCCCTTTGATTAATGTTTGTTAAGTTCTATTGCTTTGGTTTGGTGAAGGGAAGCGGTTGTGTAATTCGTGTTTCTCGAGGAAGATAATTTTGATGTTACAATAAAATTGTGGTAATAGGTTGTTTATATAAGATCTGGTACATCCATGTTGATGGGAAAGGAACCTAAATTGCTAAATATATTTTGCCAATTTATGGAAACAAGGAGCAAAAGAGTGAGCTTTGAGAAGTTTGTACTTTTTAAAGTAAAATTAAAACTTTGAAGGAGTGAAAGGGGGATTGAAAATGTTTATGGGGGACCAATTAATTAATTTTCGCCAACGAAGTTGCAGATAAACTCGAGCTGTTGTTAATTGTACTCCATTATGCAAATTGGGAAAATATTTGAAATAATATTATGTTCGGTAGGATGATATTAAGATCAAAATCATAGTTTTTGAATTTATATTTTGATTTACTTTACGCACACGCTATATAAGTTTTTAATAAAATGTTTCAAATTTATATATGTTTGCATATTATATAATTTTTAGTGAATAAAAAATACTTTTGTGCAAAACTATATAATTAGGTCCTCAAAAGTAATCAACATGAATAAATACATCTGCGAGTAATAAATCCATTTTATGTATTAAATAAAATTAACAGTCGTATCTTTACCTTTTAAGGAACCGACTCGAACCTAACACTGTTAATAAAATATCATGTCTGTTTCTGTAGAACAATCTTCGTAACATTTTTTATCAAAATTCGCCCTCTTTTTTGTGATTGAATAAGAAACTTTAGTCACCTGATCCGTATTTACATTTATAATGTTAGTAGGATTTGAGTAGGATCGACAAATCAATAAGAAAATATTTGACATGAACTACGATTACAACATATTATGAGTACACTTTTCCTTTCAACCAAGAGCATATTGGATTTTCGGCGGCTCATTTCCTTTATACCTAATGGGGCAGGAATAAGGAAAAGTATGTACTTACCAGCCGTATTCCACCAAACGTCTTCCCTGATGTAATTTCCTAACATAAACTCAACCGCAGTGATCCACATAGTTTCTGGGATATCTTCAATTTCGAATTTCAGTTTCGTCCCGTCATCCACAGTTCTTTCGAAACGTCTCCAGACTCTCGGATATTCACGGGCAGACATCGTTGGTTCACAACTAACGCCTCAGCTTTTAGTGCTATGAATTCGAAATGAGATTCAGAGTAGCTAACGATTCGATTGCGACTGAATGAATGACTCGTGGTTAGATACACAGTAACGTATATTTTAAGGACAAGTGTGTATAAAATATAATGTTCACAGCATGTTGCATAAAAAATCGAGGGATTCCAACAGATTTATATAACAAAGTACATTTTTATATTTGGAGAACAGTTTTTATTACTTACTTCTGCAAGTTACTCTTATATTTTATCATTGTGTAGTAATACAATTTAAATATAAATAGCTTGCCTCAATCGTTGATATATACCTTAATTAAGATGTTGTTACGGATATTTTAGTTTTTTCATTTGTGTAGTTTGACAAATCTTAAAATTAAACTTGGCGGGCTGATTGCAAAGTTTGTATTTATGTCCCAATGAAATTAAAATAATTTCTAACAATAATGAAATAGCAAGATGTTTCCTAAATATTTATTATAAATACAAAATAACTATTAATTTTTTTTTTTATATTTGGAGTTATTCAGAAAGACTATGTTTGTCTTTTACAAGAAAGGGGCTTAAAGTGTTTCCATGTTTACATTGCTTTTAAATTTACCTTACTAGTTTACGCAGTTAATTTTTATAGTTTATCCGTTAAAGTTCGGTATTTGAGAATTTAATTGAAAATTTTTTTACAATTCACTCTATGGTTTAGAAATTATGAATTCAAGTATATTTCGTCATAACCATCCAACCTCCTAATGTTTAAAAAGTTTGTCTTCCAATTTGGCTGTATAATAAACAGACCATCCTTAAGTTGTCCCTTTGCAAATAGCAACCGCGCAGTTCCGACGTGTAAATGATCCGGGAGATCCGATTGTGGTTGTAATTGATCCATTTGAGTTGATTATTGTGCCGTGCCTACTGCATAAACTATGGGAGCTATGTTAAATACCAATGTAAAAAAGCAATAGTAGATTGTTGTATCGAGCGCAAAGTGAGTTATGATGGTGTTATGTTGGATGCAAAATTAACACGAGTACAGTACTTTAACTTTAGCAAGGTGCGTAGTCTACTTTTCTTTTAACTACCAATCTTCCTACCGGGATAAAATATACCTACTCAAAAAAACTTCAAGGTAATTAAAACAAAGTTTAATTAATCTTTTCCTCAAACATTTAATTAAATAATAATAATAATTTATTGGCACCAAAAAATTATTTTTGTACACAGAATTTTATAAAATCTTACAATAATAGAAGAATCAATCAACTGTATAAAAATACATCTGCACCTGAACTAGGAGACCTGTATCTCAGGTGCAGCTCTCGTTATAAAAAATACAAGCTGTTTTATATACTCAACGCATACAGACATATTTTCCAGAGAAGTAACAAAATAATAAGTTTAAAGTGCAGCGAGTGAATATGAGTGTATGTGTGTGGAGAGGTTGTGTAAAATTAATATATTTATTACCAGAAATGGAATCATAAACAGTAAATCTACATTGTCTTCAAAAATAATTCAGTATCGTTATAACTTAAAGTTTTAAGCCATTCAACTGTTGAATACTTGACACTATAGAAAGGGAGATGATAAATTGATTTTATTTTATTTACTTTATTATAGAGAAAGGGTCCTAAAAAGTTAAAGAATTTTTGACCAAAACAGTGTTTGGTTAAAAATGATGAACAAACAGTAAAAATACTACGTTTAGTTAATACATTGGCATCAAACTTTTTTTTTTTTTTTTTTTTATTTATTTGTATTCAGGCATCTTAGGCCAATAGAAATATATACCTTATAGTCTAACATAGATATGAAATATAAAATAATAACAAAATAAATTCTAAATAACACGTTTAGTCGGCGACGTGTAGCGCGGAGTGGTGTCAGGTAGCCTGCCTTTGAAACGCCGGAACACCACACCTTTCGACCAAAGCTCCTCTTTCAAAAAGGTCGCCAGATGTTCCGTCGGCACTCTCACCACAAATGAATTAAAATTCACGTCGTGGCGAGACTCCAAACGTGTGACCCTCAGGAAGAAATTGGTCTTCGTACGCAAGTATTCTGCGATCCCTTCCGCCTTGGTGGTGTAATGCAAGAGGGATACATACAGTAACGTCACAGGTATCGCTGGACGCAGCAGGTTATTCGGTCCGATCGGGGCGACACCGCACAAATTGCGACGAGTGGGCTTCCTCTTCTTCCTCTCCACCGTGATGAAACCCTCTTCGTCACAATTACGGTTACGTGTTTCCGTCGGAGTTGCACAAGGGATGTCTTGGCTACCCTTCTTCTTTGGATGAGTGGAATTCCGCTCAGATTGCGTGTTAGCGACGGTTCGGCCGCGACCGCAGCTGCGTAAGCGCGTTTTGGTGTTAACGCGCAGTCGCGTGACGTCTCCGGTGTGGCGGAGGGGCGGGTGACGGGGGCGCGAGGCGGGGCTTCGCGCGCGATGACGGCGGCCGGTGACGCACTCGTATGCGCCGACTCTAAACTGCCAACGGATGCATTTTGCGCCCCGCGACGTGTGTTCACGTTGGAGACCTCGGGTGACCTACTTGTCCAAGCGGCGCTACTTAATGACTCCAGTTGGGCTCGCAACTCACTGATGGTGTTGTTTGATTCTTCCAACTTGTTCACCACATCGGCCAGATTTGCTTTTAGGAAGTTGATGTCCTTGAGCAACCTGGTGACATCGACGTGGTCGAACGTGACGGGAGGGAGCTTGTGTAGCTCCTTCGCCACGAATGTAGGCACGTCATCTGGATCCAATTCTTTTAGCAGGGTGACGATGTCCTGCAGACTCTTCTCCGTTCCATCTCTCCGGCGAGATGGCATCTGATCGGCCTTACCGACGGACCGGTACAGTAACGCCTTGCCACTGCAAACCTCCTCTTCTTTGAAATTCGATTTGCAGATCTGCAGGATGCTAATCTCGTCCATTGTATCTATGGCGTTTTGAATGAATGCCAACAACTCGAGTTGTTGAGAACTCATTGCTACCGAAACGCAGGACGGCTGTTGCCGTGTGACGCGAATAATAAATTCTCACAGCACAGTGGCGCACGTCCGTTTCCAAGCGCACATCGCACTATTAAACGTGAGTGTTGCTTAAGGATCACCTGTAATATAAAAAGCTGTCTTACAGTTAATACATCAAAATCCTTGTACAAGAGAACGGACGGATAGTAAATTGGGCGAAATGTACAAACTTTTAAAATATGTCTCTGTGCTATTTCTACAATAATGAAGGTGGATTTAGCAGCATCCCCCATGCTGTGATACCATATGTTAAAACCGACTGATATAATGATAGATACACTTTTCTAAGGAGGTCAAAGTCAGCAACATGTCGCAAGCTTTTAAACACGTATATGAGTTTCCTCACTCTATTAGTGAGGAGCATTATGTGCTCCCTAAAAGACAGAGAGTAGTCAATAAGTAAAGCAAGGTACCTAACGCTGACGGCCTTCCTCAAAGTAACACATGTACATGGTTGAGTATGAGGGTTAACACAGGAATGTATCTTTAAATTAAATTCATTAGAGGGAAGGCCAGAGGATCTCATCGTAAAAGTTACATATTGCGTTTTTTCAGGGTTTAACGTCAGTGTATTCTGTCTCAGCCAATCACAAACATCGTTGAATACCCTTTGAGCCACATCAAATACTTTATTCCATGTGTTCGCTGAAAAAAGCAGAGTGATATCATCAGCGTAACAAATTAGTTTACCTTATGACAGGTGAAGTCCCAAGAGGTCATTAATATAGATTAGAAATAGAATAGGACCAAGGACACTGCCCTGAGGAACACCATACTCTATTTCAAGGAAACCACTGACATTCCCACCAATACCAACACACTGAGTTCTATTAGACAAATATTCACGAAAGAGTTGAAGTTGCAGACCCCTGATTCCAATGTGTTCTAATTTGCAAAAAAGGCTAGGTATAGACACGGTATCAAAGGCCTTAGCCAGATCAAGAAAAATCCCCACGCATTTATTGCCCTGATCTAAATTAGTACTGATGAAACTTGTCACTTCCAATATTGCATCATTAGTAGATTTGCCCGATCTAAAGCCAAATTGTAAGCTTGATATAAGGTCATGCTTATCAAGATATTTTACTAAGCGGTTGTAAATAAGGCGCTCCAATATCTTAGATATGGCAGGTAAGATGGAGATTGGCCTATAGTTCTTAATATGATGTCTATCTCCAGCCTTATAAACAGGGAGAATTCTTGATTTTTTTAACACAAATGGAAAAATGCCGCTATCGAAACAACAATTAAAAATATGAACTAAAATGGGGGTCAGTGAATTTTTGCATAACTTAATTATATTATTAGGGATAACATCACATCTTGCAGCACATCTATTTTTTAAACTCATTATAATAGTAGAGACCTCAGCCTCATCACATGGCGAAAGAACAAAAGAGTTTGGATTTTTATTAAGTTTAGGGGATCCACATTTATGAGCTGAATTAGTGGAACTAGAAGAGATTAAATTGTCAGCTAGATTTTATCCCACATTAACAAAAAATTCATTGTATTTATTAATATTAAAATCAATTTTATCCCTATCCGACAATAATTCCATAGCTGGTGCCTTTTTTCCCCGTATTGGTAATTCTTTTTATAGCTTCCCACAACTTTTTACTGTCTTTATTAGCTTTTAAAAGTTCATCTCGTTCATATTGCCTTTTTAGATTTTTTAGCAGATTGTTACAGAATTTCCGGTATCTAAGATATGTAACTTTCATAACATTTTCAGGTGAGGAACGTAATTTCAAATGCATAGAGTCTCTATTATGAATGCAACGAATTAAGCCAGGGGTTCTTCAAGGCTTTAATGGTGTATTTCTTCTAGAAAGTTTTATCTTTTCACTGTTATTTTTGATGCTATTTTGGATGTGATTTATTAAATATTCTGTAATATAATTAACATTATCACTTTGAAAAACAACGTCTAAATTAATATTTTGTTCAACATCTTGTTTAATCTTATCATAATTTAATTTGACACGTAATGGATTAAATAGATCCCTCTTAGTTTGATTTTCA